ACCTACCTCTTTGAGAACTTCTACTTTAGCCATTAGGAAATAGACTTTGTATGTTTTTACTTCAATTTTAAGTTTATTTACTTGATTAACTTTAATTTTATATTTCCTCTCACTTTGTTAAGCACCTAGATCTATCATTGGATAGGCGCTATAGATATTATTATTATTATTATTATTATTATTATTATTATTAAGAGTTGGAATGGTTGGCGAATATTGATCCAAGTTTATTAGATAAATCGAAGAAAGAAAAGCAATTTGACGGCAATGAAATTTCATCATATATTGAAGAAAATATTAATAGAAACATCAACAAGACAACGCGCCAATTCGTTCCGCTTCGCATACTTCTGTCACGCACTCCCAGTAAATAAATATCCGCGAAATTCGCCCGCACTGAAAAAACAATTTGGCGTGTCGGATAATAAATAACTTATGAGACATTTTGGTGTGTCGCATCGCTGAGTATTTTTAATTGTTATTATATTTTGAGTTGCCCTATGAGCTCATTGAAATACGGCATGATTCGTAAAATACTCAATGATACCACATTACAAAACGTCCAATAAGACGTATGTATTCACTTCGCTTCCGGTGGATAATCGTTAAATAATTGTTAAATTAACGATAAGGTAAATTGAAATTATATTTTTATCATTTCATGGAGTTGAAGGTCTGTCACAACAGTTCATTATCGAAATTTAGCAACATTAAGATAATGATAACATAACTAAGAATGAAATAATCTTCGTTGGTTGTTATGATTCATTTGTCGTTCCATGGATCCATCTTCTCCATACTGTTCTCTATTCATTTCGAACGACACTGGCGAAGAGAATTCGTTAAATAATCAAGAGACTGTCTCGAATTGGTGATCATTACCGTTACACTTACGACCTCGATACTTGATTTGGAAATTTGGAATTAGATGCCAGTCACCCTGTAGAAAGGTGTAGTACAACCTCAAATGTAATTATTTTGTCTGTAGTTTTGTTCATTACCAGAGTGTGCATGTAGTCTAAATCAAAGGTCCTTGGGGATACCCCATATATTATTTTATAATCATTTAATTATGTACTATTTGCCATCTCCTTCGCGTCACCTACGGCTTAGCTTCAATGACCAGTTTACTTTTATCACTAAAAGCGTTAGCGTTAGTAGCACTAAAAGTAAACGAGATGATGTTTTAAGAAAATGTTTATTCAAAAGTCAGATAAATGGACGGCCAAAGAAGTTTCTATATAAAATCCTTTCAAATTGCTTCACAAACCTCATTTACCCTAAGGACCTTCCCTGGGGAATTGTGTTCTGCATGCTGTCCTGAAAGGAACGGTTGCAGTAGTTTGTGACCTTAGCACAAATGTATTTCATAGAGGCGGATCCAGGAATTTTTGATTGGGGGGTCCAAACTTTGGTTCAGAAAGGACTGTGGAACTCTTTTGAGGCAATTACTTCTCCCCC